TAGGCATGTTGACAAGATCCCAGTCAACTGGGCTGGCGTTCAAGGCAGGTCTCCAAATCCAGCACAAGGGAACCAAAGAATTAAGCAGAAATAAAGAGATGAAACCAATCATAGAGACTGTCCCACACAGCAGGCTAAGACTGGATGGACAGACAGCTGCTCACTACAGGGAAGCCAGACTTACGGACATAAGACCTCAGTGAAGTCCCCTCTGATCTCGCATATGATTTGATCAAAACTGGCAAAGGAACTTGGTGGGACAGAGCTGAGGGGGGGTGGTGAAAGCACAGACCATGCAGATGAATGGAGCTGTAGGAAGAAGTAGACCCTTAATAAATAAGGGCTGGATTCTGTCTCAACTGTAAAATTTAATCTTGTTCTTTGAGAGTCACTTGGGATTCTGAATTAACCAGTATATATATATAAAACATCTTACAGAAAAACCTGAACAACTTTTTGGCCAACCCAATATATTCCAGCATCAGTAAAAGTAAAGTAAAATAGGCACTCTGGTATACTCTCTCCCTGATCAAGACCTGTCATTTCAAACCTGGTTGTGCATCTAAATGAATGCCCTGGAGAGCTTGTTAAAACCACACACTTCCAGGCCCTGCTCCACACCAAGAGTATCAGAATCTCTTTGAATGGGCCTGAGATGCAAGCGTTTTAAAAACTCCCCAGGTAATTCTGAGGCCACTAGCGTATGGACCATTGTTTACGATCCATCTTTTATGCTCCATCATAAATCTTACGATTTGTATCCTATTTGTGGTTAATAGACTTCTAAAAATCAAAGCTATGATAAAGCAATGAAGAGTTATATTAATAATAATCATACTCATACAGCCTTTGGGCTGCACCAGGTGACAAAGCTACAGCAAACTGAACTGATCCCTGTCTTTCCCCTTCTGTCCTGCTGGACTCGGTGCCAGTTGCGAAGACACGGCCCTTTGCAGGCAGGCCCGTTGTCACACCGATGTCTTGAGTGATGGTGACTGGCACACAGATTTTGCCAGCCTTCTTAGCATCTTAATTAACCTGCTTCAATTCTTAGGAAGCATTCTTCATAAGACATGTGAAGCAGGAATGGCAGGGAAATGTACTTCTTCCTCATTTCTTGGTTCTACTTTGCATCACTGGTAAGTGGTACAGTATATGATCCCCAAACAGGCAGGGTCAAAGCTCATGCACAGGACCTTTCCTGCCCACTCCAGCCCACCCCGACCTACTCCTACCTTTCTATCACATATTCTCTGTGTCACTCGACTTTGTCCTCTAAAAGTATCATTATTCATTCAACCTTCATGGAAAGCAATTTTGCAAGGATATGTAACAAGAAGTTTAAAATGATTTATGTACTTGACTAAGGAGTTCTATTTTTAAGTATTTATCATAAGGAAATAATGAGTATTTTTTACGAGGAAAGGACACTTATTGCTACATTATATATATAACCTCTGATTATGGAAAAGGAATATGTAATGTTTGTGTAAAAGGATATTTATTGCAAAATTATTTATAATCCTCCTGAATTTAGAAACACCTTAGATACTCAACCAATGGCTAATGGTTAAATAAAATCTCAACAGTTAGATGCTAGAAAACTGGGAAGATGTTAAGCTGTACATTTTTGATTTATAAGATAGAAAAGGGAAATGTCCATAATAAGATTGGGGGCATAAAAAGTTGCAATGCAGTATCATTTCAATTTTGTTTAAACTAGTTGTGTGTGTGTTTTATAAATGACTTGAGGGAATATACCAAAAACTGGACAATCTGGGAAGCAGAATTAGGGTAATTTTTATTTTATCATTTTTTTCCTTGGATTTCCTCTAATAGCATGTTACTTTTTCTGCTTAAAATATTTTAATTTAATTTTTATCTCAAAGTAATAATTAAACATAATAACGAATAAATGAAAAATGACTGTCTCCTGAATTAACCCATGCTCACTCAGTCCTGCTCCCCAGAGGCAAACACTATGCCTTGTTCAGGTTTCTTCCTTCCCACAGTTACCTCTGTAATGCCAAATAATACTCATGTCATACTATTTATTGCTGACTAAATTGCAAATATTCTCTTTGTCTTATTAAAATAGATGTCTAATTTACATCTCTTATGCAATATACCTCATCTTGCCCCATCCTCGTAATGGAGATATGTCATTTTCAGTTGACATCATAAAAGGGTTTTTATTAGCATAACTATGTCATTTTTATTTACTGCAGAGTGAAATAAGATGACCATGAATATATTACATTTCCTTTCTTATTTGATGTTTTCTTTTGTAACAGCAAGTTCCTTGTTGTCTTTTTATCTTTCTCCAATGTCTTTGAAATAATAATGTTTTGAGCTCCCTGACAGATATTGTATCAAGGTATTCTATCAGTGTCCCCATTTGTCAGTCTAATTAGACTGATTCATTATCATCCCCAGAAACCTCCACTTGCATTCTGGTCTCTGTCTCTTTAGCTCCTATTGCTGTCC